GGAAAGGGATCTCAACAGATGGAAAACCCTGACATCTGAGCGTTCAGCCTGGAGGCAACCGGTGCATCACAGCCTCTCCCACTATGAAGAGACCCTTGTCCATCAGGCTGAAGCAAAGAGGCAGTCCTGAAAGCAGCAAAATCAGGGAGCTAGATGGGGTACAGATTGTTTTTGTCTTCAGTGTGGAAGGGATTGTTACTCTCAAATTGGCCTTCTCAGCCACACTAAACGCTGTTCCAAGTCCTCCATATAGAGCACGATACCATAGTCTCTCGAGACTGAAGGATGCCTTATCTAACCAAGTCTGTGCACCTCCTGTGCCTAGAATCCACCACTATCTGCCCAGAGATAACTCTGGGCAGATAGTGGACCGTCTGCAAGTTGTTGTGAAAAGAATAGGGCATTCAGTGGATTTCAGGTTTCTTTATGCAAACTAAAAGTTTCTGCTCCTTAAGGCAGTATAGAAAACCTGTGGTCCTTCCAGTTTTGCTGAGGTGCAACTTCCATCATGCCTGACTATTCACTGTGTTGGCTTGGACTGATGGAAGTTGGAGTTCAGTGATATTTTGACGGCTATAGGTTGCCCAGCTCTGCCTCAAGGCTGCAAAGATAGTCTTAAAAATAGGCAAGCAATGTCTTGATTAAATGAAGCTCAGAACACATCCCGAATACTTTCTCACTGCCTTTTCTTCTTAGCATGACAAGCAACAGTGAAACACTGAGCTGCCTGATTCTTGTCCCCATAATAAGGAGATAACATACCAAGAAGTCTTGAGGCATCAGTCTTGCCAATATGTATGTTGTTGCTCCTGCATTTTCTGTGGCTGGTGTGAGTGATGCAGAGGTTACATGTGGTCTCTGTAATCCAAGCCACCTTCTCCAGTGATCCTCTGGGCAGTAGGGAAGGGGGATGGGGTTCTGTTCTAATGGTACTGAAAACAGCACCAGGACCATAAGCAGTGTCAGGATTGTAGACTGGTGGGACAAGTGAAAACCTCTTTCAGTTTCCAGACACCCGCTGCCAAGACAGCTATTTTTCTGCCACTAGTAATGGCAGAGGAACACTGTGGGACTGGAGAGGTGTTTGCCCATGCTGATTCTTACCCTGTGGTCCTTAGTCCTCAGCAAGCAGTGCAGATAGGTTGGAGTCTCTGAAGCCCTGCATGCTGATCCATGGCAAGCAGAGATGTCCATGTGGGCCTGCATGTGTAGGCCAGGCCCCTAAGTCAATAATGGAATATCCCCTCAGGGTTGGGACCCTTTGGGAACCATCAACATGTTGGGTCACATCATTAAGATCTGGCACCCTGTTCCTGGTGCAGGTGACAGGTGTGTCCTATTCATAGATACTCCCTTGAATGACTGAACAGTGAATGAGCATGTAGATAATGTTGCTTCTGACTTTCAACATACATAGTAATATTTTGGTTTGGGATTCAGATAGTTTTAACTACAGTATTACAGTTGCCCTTCTATTGTGAGGTATAAATACACCTTTCTGGGTGTTGGAGATGAGGGATTATGGATTCGGCTGCAGCTTTCAGATTCTGTCTCTCTGTTACGGTAACTCTTCAGGCCTTTGGCTTCTAAGAGAGAAAATAACAACCTGTCAGAATCCCTCCAGATGAGACTTGAAGGCACTAGCCTCTTCCAAACCATGCATACACTATACAATGTTGCTGTATAATTGGAGGCATATATTGATTATTTTCAAAGTGACCATTCTCAAGTCGGATAGTTAAAAAGTCCCCTTATGATGCTAAACATTAAACACGTGTTTAATTTCCATTGAAAATGTCAGTGGTGCAACAAGTTACAGTTCTTTTCCTTTCTTGACATGTACAAGCTTCCAAAGGATATCTTAACCTTGTTCTCCCTGTGAAAATAAGTTTGATGCTTAATAGTATTTGCATAAGTTCTGGTGAGAGTACATTGTTGACCTATTTTAAGATTACACCAAAAGCATATTCTGCATTCTTATTTAATATAGTATCATTTAAACTGGTAGAAGAATTTAGCCATTCTTTGCACAGCATTCAAAGAATGTTGTCATTGAACATGGGGATCCCCCACCCCTCTCATTTTTCCAGTATGGAACCTGAAAGGGGAAAGTCCTGTTATCTCTGATCTGAGATCAGAGGGAACAGCGAACAGGATACCAAGATTTTCCATGCAACAGAAATTATGGTGTTCTGTGCCACTCTCCACACAGGGAAAGCAGACTTCTGGGAGGGGTGGATCAAGATGACATCAGAGGATGTGACAGAGCCCCTCTCCCTGTGACATCATCTGCCATATTGGTTTGGTTATGAGGGCGTTTGGTCCATGGAATCATCTCCTTCCCCACCTCTGATAAACATCTTTGTACACACTGGGCCACCTGGATTAATGGAAATAATCATCCTGATAATCTCGACAGCTTGGTGATTTATTCTTACTATTTAGCCCACAAAGTAATATTGTCCAAACCATTTGGGGTATTATTGATCTAAATATCCAGGAAACACAGGAGTCTGCCAGGCTGCAGAATCATGAAGATAATGTGAAACTGCAGTGACTGTTCAGTTATTTGTGGCTCTTTGCAAAAAGCCTTTATGTAGCCGCACCCTTTTGGTATCTTCTCCCAGACCATAGCAGGAAGATTTCTTGCCAATTAGAATGTGCTCTGCAGGTGGTGCATGTGATCACATTTAAGGCTTTTTATATACTGTGGCCACTAGCGCATGCAGAGATGTAACAATAGGCAGACGTTTGAAGAGGTGGTAACTGTGAGGCCTTCAGCAGATAAAATCAGTCATACCTGGGTGGCTCACATGCTACAGTCCTTAGCTGTGTGATATGTCCCAGGGACCAGTGTTCATTTACAGGGCTTGGACTGACAGTGGCTCTCAATATGCAACTCACCTCCCTGTATGCTTGACCCCTGCCAGTTACCTCTGGCTACAGAAAATTGGCTGTATCTCACATTTGGTGCTCCATCAAGTCAAGAAATTGTGTCTCAGTCACCTCAAAAGAGAGGTATGTAATCCAGCTGGTTCTCCTAGAACTCTTTAACTGTTTTTCAGTTCATTAACTATGACAGTGATTCCCAGTCTTGGGCCTTAAGACAGTGTTCACCTGTTGTTGTTATTATGTGCCATCAAGTCACTCTTCCCTTATGAGAGTCCTATGAGTGAATCACCTCTAAAGTCTTATCGTTAACAGCTGGTCCTGCAAACTAAAGGCCATGGCTTTCTTGATTGAGTCAATTCACCTTGTGTTAGGCCTTTCTTCCTTCCTTCTGCCTTCCACTTTTGATAGCATTTTAATCTTTCCCACTCAGTCTTGACGTCTCATGTAGTGTATTTTTCTATTTATAAGATGACCCAGTGTATAAGACAATCCTCCCCAAATTAGAAAATTACATCCCCACTTTTCCCTTCCTTTTGCTAAGCCACGGAGCTTAGCAAAAGGAAGGGAAAAGCAGGGATCAAAGGACTCCCTTTGACCGCCAGTTTTCCTTGCCTTTTGTTAAGCCTTAGCAAAAAGGAAGGGAAGGCTCCCTTCGTAGCCCTTTGACCCAGAAGCCCTTTCATGGCTGCTTCAGGATCAAAGGGCTGTGATCATGCAGCCCTTTCACAGCTACTTTACCTGAAGGGAGTGTTCCCTTCCTTTTTGCTAAGCCCCATGACTTCACAAAAGGCAGGGAAAGTGGCTGCCTTCCGTGTATCCAACCCTCAATTTTTTTGTCTAATTATTTAAGGAAAAAGTGTCATTTTATACACAGAAAAATATGTTATATCCAAATTACAGTAGCCTAAAGCACACTATGACAGGTAAACTGGCTGCAACTCCTCAGATCTTAGACCGTTAGTCAAGCTGGCTGAGCCTTCTGGATACTGAAGTCCAGCATCATATGGAGAGCTAGAGAATCACTGGACTGTGATATCCTCATGGGCTCACTCCTGGAGATAAGAACTGAAGGCAGCACATCTTGGCAGTTCCATTCCTAGATGAAAGACCAGTTCCTGGAGGTGGTGCTGGGAGAGTGCTGTCCTGCCCAAGTCATGCATGTTAATATTCTACAAGATTTCTTCTTGGTGCCTCAGTTGACCTCTTTGAAACCTCTGAGGAGGTTATTTGGGGACTTGGAAAGAAAAGCTATCAATATTTTTCCATAGGAAGTAGCAGATATACTGAGTAGGTACCTGGAAACAGTAATGGGTTCAAGAGGGTGCCAGTAAACAGAAACTTATTTCAGAAAAGACAGAGGTTCTGTCAGGTTCACTGAAGACTTGAGACACAGCCTATACATCCAATACTTAGGAAGTGGCTTATACAGTGCAGCAGTTCTGGAAGGATCAGATCAGGGTCTCGATGAAATGGCCAGTACTGTATATCCAGATCCGCAGTTGTCATTCATAGCACACAGCACCACCCACCAGTGCTATTTGTTATTCCTATTGTAACTCTTGTGTAAATTTCATGACTCTTGACCTTTTAATATTCAGCTTGAGTTACTATAAAACATTGTGTAGACTGTTTAAAAAGTCAGTGTGTCCCAAATCATAGATGCTAGAATATTCTTTGGTAGAACAGGAGGCAGCACACCTTAAAAGAATTTCACTGGCTTCTTCTCTCTTTTCAAGCACAACAAACTAATAGTTTTGTCTGTAATTATGCCTCATGTCAGAGTCCCTCCATTTATCCCAAGAGAGAGGCACATGTGGTCTTTCAGATCTATCTACTGCATTTTCCAGCATTCCCCAATATTAGAAATACTGTATTGGTTGAGCTGATTGAAGTTGCAATCCAATAATGTTAGGGTGCATGGTCCCTTCTCCTGATTCTTCTGGTATCATGTCAATACCTTGCCATTGATCATGTTCTTAAAGGTGTTAAACTGATTAACCAACTTTGATGAGCTCCTCCCGTTGCTGTAAGTTGCCTAAGTGACAGGGGAGTAAGTATTTTAAATAACAATGGCTGAACTCAACATCCACTCTCTTCTCTTGGTCCAGGTTGGCTCATTCTCTACTCGCCCTCTTTGCATCGTCACTTGCAATCTCAGTGGTTTTTGCCATCATTCCTCTCTGCCATCATGTGGTGGTGCTTGCAGTGGTCATGGCCGTGGCTGGCTTGGCCATGGGGTGCATTGACACACTCTCCAATATGCAGCTGGTGAAGATCTATCAGAAGGATTCAGCTGTCTTTCTGCAGGTGAGAAAGGGAAGGTTGACCCCTTTTGGGGGGATCTCTTTGTTACGTTGTTTTGTTTGTTTTTGTTTTTTGGTAAGTTGAGTCTTTGCCAGAGATTCATAAATGTTGGTTGACCTTGATTGGCAACCCAATTAGGCACCCACCAAGGCACTGTGCTCCCATTGAGAGAAGAGTTATCATTTCCTGTGATATCACACTGAATCTGAAGCCCAGTATGATTTGCTAGCCTCCCCACCATTGAGTTCGGGACAAGATCATAAAACACGTTTTAACATTTTAATATGGTTTTATTATTTCATATGTTTTATTCTGTTCTCTTTGATATGCTGTACACCGCCTTGGAGGTTCTTTTGGAAAGATGATATAGAGATATTAAAAATAATTAACATGTTATCAGATTGATTCTGACCTATAGCAACCCTGCCCAGAGTTTTCTAAGTACTGTACAGAGTATTCAGAAGTGGTTCGCCCTTCCCTTCCTCTCAGGTTACTCTGTGGCTGAGCAGTTTGCCTCTGATTTTTCTCCTAGAAGGCACAGTGGAATGTTGAATTCCAACCTCTGGCTCTGCAGCCTGATGCCCAAATTACACCCTAGATCTTGTAGAAGGGATCTCCCATTGGATGCTAAAAGAACACGCACAGAGCAGCCATTCTGGGAGAGAGCTTGATACAGGCAACATGCTAGAACACAATTCAGCTCTTCTGGGTTAATTGTCAATTATCATGTTCCTTTGGCTTAAAAGAACACGCACAGAGCAGCCGTCCAGGCAAGATGCTAGAACACAATTCAACTCTTCTGTGTTAATTGTCAATTATCATGTTCCTTTGGCCAGATTTCTCATTGGAATTGCTTGGTGCCATGGTGATGAAAGTAATAAGACTGATTTGCTTCATTCTTTTGTGTAGGCCCTTCACTTCTTTGTGGGCTTTGGTGCCCTGCTGAGTCCTCTGATAGCTGACCCTTTTCTGTCAGACACCAACTGTATCCTGACAAATAGCACAGCCAACAGCAGCAGCAACCTCCCTCACATCCGGAAATCGCTGGTCCCCCACCATCCTGGAAACCTTTCCCATTATGACCTGCCCACCAAAGGACTGGTGGTGACCCGAGTGTCCTACGCTTTCTGGATTATGGCTTTGATCAATGTAAGTAGTGGACAATCATTCCAGGCAAATGCTCAGAATGGTCTGAAGGGGAGATCGCTTGCCTTGCATGTCTGGAAGAATCCCATATAAACCAGCATGCATGTGCAAATAATTTTACTTATGAACAAAGTTTTGGAAGGTTTTGATGTTGCACCAAATCAGCCTTTCCCCTTTGTTCTGACACCACTTGTGAAATTGTGCCTCAAGTGGTCTCATAAACCAAGGGGCACAAGTAGATGAATCTTGTCTTTGAAAGATTTATATCACATCTTTTGATCAAATAATCCCGGAAATACTTTACAATGGATTGCAGAGGTCTTTCTCTTCTTCTAGGTTTAAGTGCAAACAAGGAAAAGATTATGTGAGCTGTGTTTGTCATTCACCAAACCGCAGATTATTTACCATGTAAACCTCCCTAAGGCAGGAGAACATTTGATGCTCCTTGCATCTGAAGCAGATGTTGTCTCTTCCTTTTCTTAACAGACTTAACACCTTGCAAACTGACCTATGACAATAGTTATTTTATTGGCTGTAAAAGTAGCCCTACTGAGTGCTTTTTTTCCTTATATATTACCTGAATAAATATCAACCAAATGGGTTTTGCCTCCGGCTTTAACAAGCCAAATATCATCCGGAACTTCTTTCTTTAAAAGGTTGCTTGAGATGAGTGGTAGCTTAACATGTCTCAAGTCACCGGGTTCCCATGAAGGAATATGACACTTTCTTGGGGAACCTGTAATGTTCTGATCTCTGGGCAATATTTTGTGCCTAGAGCTTCTATGTGGGGAGGTGGGCATGGCTAAGCTACCTTTATGATGAAATTAGAATTGCTTATGATGAGTACTGGTTAGAGGTGAATGCAGATGAAAGAATATATAGAGACTATATAGATAGCACTTTAAAAGGCAGTAAAAAGAATGAAAGAAATGAATTCCTAGATTCACAAGGCTATAAATAATTAAAAATCCCTGATTTATGCATGGAGCAAAGATGATGTATAATAAAAATGGGGAAGTTACTTGCTGAATGTATTAAATGGTAGATAAATATAGGTAATGTTCAAATTAGATTACATATTCTGATCACAACTGTTTAGAAGGTATTGCGGATGAGTTAGAAATATGAAGATACTAAGTAACTTGTGAACTATAGTTGATCTATGCAACTAAGAATGGCTTGAATATAAGATTAGTACAGGTTTAAGATTATATATTAGACAATTTAAGTATGTTAATCTTTAGGGTTTATGTAGTCAGAATTATATATTAAATGGATATGGCCTAAAGATGCTTAGTAGGGCAATATGGTTTATCTAGTCAGGTTTATATGTTAGATGGATATATTCTCCCTGTATATATGTTTTGGTGTTTGTTTTGTATGTTTGTCTGTGTTTAATTAAAAAAAACATGTCTCAGGTCACCGGGTTCCCATGAAGGAATATGACGCTTTCTTGGGGAAACTGTAATGTTCTGATCTCTGGGCAATATTTTGTGCCTGGTAAAGTCAGGTGATTATGATGTGTTAAAGAGGGACATTTTGGTGTTGGCTTGTCTTTTGAATGGCTTAGGATCAGTGCATACCACCTTTCCATGATCTGGTATTTTCCAGATGTGTTGAACTGTGATTGCAACTATGGCCAAGCTTTGCAGATGTTGTTGGTCATGCTGGCCGGTGATGATGGGAGTCATAATCTAAGACATGGATAGCATCAGGTTGGGGAAGGCTTGGTACAAATCAGAAGAAATTTGTGAACGAAGCCTCCTCTCTATCAATTTTAGGAATCAGGCTTTGTTTAGATCTCTGTACCCTTTCTCTTATGCTGTTTCTAGTGCAGGGATGGGCAAAATAAAACACTCCAGATGTTGTTGAGCGGTTACTCCCATCAATCCTAACTAGTATAGCCAGTAGTGAAGAATGCTAGGCATAAAAGTCCAACAACATCTGGTGGGTCATATTTTGCCCAGGCTTCTATTAGAGACAGTATAGGAGAAAAGGACTGCACATTCAAACAGACACTTGCCACCCTTGTTCCAGCTAAGCTTATATATTCCTGCATGGCTCCTTGTCATTAAGTTGCATTTCTCCTTTGGCATTAGCAGTTTTATTAGACCTTTCAGAGATAATTTCAGCCTCCTATAGAATCTGTTTCTGTGCATCTTCACATCACGGTGATAAATACTGTTCATCTCAGTGGGACTTACTCCCAAGGTACACATAGGGCTGACCCAATAGCATCTTGACTATGGAGGAAAATAGCAATTCTGATTGGGCCCAGTTCCCTTGGGGGCCCATTCTGATTGCCACCCCTTTCTGGTTGCTTTTTTTTTTAAATCTAATCAAGTAGTTCACACATTATCATATGCATTTATTTGTTACTTTTGACTGATTAAAGTATTTCTAACCTGCCTTATATATTGACAGCTTTCAAGAGTGGAGTACAATAGATAAAAGATTAATACAGTTTTAAACTAAGTACTGTATAGCGTCAACATTTTAAAACAATTAAAATCTTTAAACTACAGTTTAAAGCAGTTTAATAATTAAGTCAAAAGAATAGCAAACTGAAGGATTGAAGACCAAGCCCTGGTCTCTATAATTACCAAATGCTCTAGAAAATTAAGACAGTGTTAGTGCCAATCAAACCTCCAAAAGGAAGGCATTGCACAGCTAGGATGCTGAGCTTGAGAAAGCCCTCTCCTCTGTCTCTATGCAATATATTGCTCTCAAACATGGGCTAGAGGGGTGGGGACCAACCAGAATCAAATGAAAATATTTCTCAGGAAAAGAAGAATATAAACTCACACATACAAAAAGAATCATACTGGTTTTTTTTCTCTGTACAGATTACAGTGGTGCCTCGCTTAGCGATGTTAATTCGTTCCAAAAAAATCGCTGCTAAATGAAAACATCGCTAAGCGAAATAAAAAAGCCCATAGAAACGCATTAAAACGTGATTAATACGTTCCTATGCGAGGCACCACTGTATTTAGACCATTCTTGGACAACAAGATCAACTCTGTGTTTTAGCTTTTAAACTGAGTACAACATATTGTTGACAGCACTTGTTAAATTAAATTATAGTATGTCAGACAAGGACCCAATGGCTTCAAGTCAGAAGCAAAGCAGAGTGTGTTGCTTATATACCACTCAATAGTGGCTAAAGATCTCTCTGGGGAGTTTACAGTTTAATTATGCAGGCTACACATTGGCCCCTCCTCAGCAAGCTGGGTACTCAGTTTAGTGACCTTGGAAGGACAGAAGGTTGAGTCAACCTCGAGCAGGCTTCCTGAGGCCAAACCAAACTCAGGTTGTGAGCAGAATCTTCACTGCAGTACTTCAGCTTTACTACTGCGCTACGAGGCTCCTCCACCATGAGAGAAGTTCACATCTTACAGAAAGGATCTCTTTGAAGTAGAATGGTGTTAACAGAATGATTTCCAGAATCCTTTTAAAATCCCAATAATGAAATGAAGCTTTGAACATACAGTACAAGTATTGAAAACCCAGGAAAAGAAAGTGCTTGTTTGAGAATTGTCTTGCATGTTGGCTCACCTGCAGTTTTAGAAATGCTTGTGTTGAACTCAACAGGATGGGTTGAATGGGTCATGGTTGTATTGTCTTTTCAAGGAAATATGGTCTGAGCAAGGAAAATATGTTAAGAAGACAAAAGAGTATACTTACCATAAATACATCGTAATACCCATAAGTAACTTTAAAGTTGAAAATATCAAATGTACGGCATAACAGTTTAGTGCTGTCTCTGTTTTCTATACAGAACTTGATGGTCAAGTTTCTTTACACTTGACCCCATGCTTAAACCCCCACCCCCCCAAGGGAACTGAATCCCTGTCAGAATACTTCTAAAGAGAATGAATTTTAAGCAGTCTTTAATGAGCAATCCAGGAGCATCTCTTCAGGTTGCAATCCTGTTCACCAAACTTGCCAATACATAGTTTGGAAAAGTTGTGAGTTTGGGCTACATCTCTCAGATACCCTCAGCCAGCAGGACCTCTGGCTTTCCTGACTGGGGAATTTTGGAAGTGACTGTCCAAAAAGAGATTCCCCCCCCCCAAGCTGCGTGCAAGTGTTAGGCATGTTGTTTTGTTGAAGAGACGTGGCATGTTTATTGGCTTCTTTTGTCAAGGATTATGTCTGCTTTAAGCATAGACGCTATCTGAAAATGGAACTTCTTCCTTTTTGTTGTCTTATGGGTTATTATTCAATGAGCAGAATAATGGTGTTGGGAGATGGTGCAGAGCAACCACACCCAGAGGAAACTAGTTCACTGTGACCAGTATTTATTATCCATCTGTGTTTTTTTTCCCCCTGTCTTCCCCACTTCACTGACTGCAATGGGTGGAAATGAACTATGCCAGTTCCACAGACTGGTGTAGTTTGGGGTCTGTTTGGGAGAAATGTCAAAGAACAAGGGTATTAGCATCCTTCAGATATACTCTCATAAACCCCTATTTTGGCTCTGTCTGTTGGCAGAATGTCAATGGCAGAAGACATTTCTCAGTCACTGCACTGGGAAGACCTCTTCCTGGATATGCTGTTTTACCAAAGGAAATCCTACAGGTGCTGAAGCACCTCTTCTACCAAGGTTTGTAGTCACCTTACCCGCTGGCTGTGGAAGAGCAGGATTATTCCTTAAAACACAGAAAGAATGTTTAATATGGGGAAACAGCACTGCACTGATATGTCTACATCTGCAATCTATCAGAGGCCAACATCTAACTTCAAAGAAATATAAAAATGTACCCCAAGCTCATTTAGACAGAACATTTTTCCTTGCTACCTGCTGCTGAATGACCATAGATTTTACTGAAGTTTCCATCTGTGCTTATTCCTAACACCCCACTTCTCTTATTTTTAAGAAATCTACAGCTTTAGAGAAATGATTCAGAAATACTTCAAAAATGAAAAGAAATGTTTTGAAAATTATTTTCCCTTCTGGGTTTTTGAAAGTAGGTTACTTTTAACCTTGAAAGCATCAGCTG